GGTTGCACAATAGATCTGAAGAAGAGCATCACAATATCGGCAGGCTTATTTTCTTTTTCCAAATGATCCAAAAAAGAATTTTCTTCTTTCACAGCTGTGCTCAAACACTGGAGTACCCACACAACCCCAACATTTCTTTCTTAATTAGAAGCAACCATCAGAGTAACTGAGATGGCCAAATGGACAGTGCTTGTCTTGTCAGAAATTTCGAAAGTATTCTCTCTCAGGACTCCAAATGCAAAAGAAACCATGATGTTCAACTGACTCGCTAGAACTCTGAGAGCAAAGACAAATCATTGCACAAGTCACTGGAATAAGAAGTGGGATAAATCAGAGAGGGGAGACTGTGTGATACTTGCACACATCCTCCATCCACTCCCCTCAAGCAATGCAAAATATTGCAGGTGAAGGAAAAAGCTCTGACTATACTGCATCTGCATATAGAACCTTCTCTTTTATCTGCATGATTAGCATAATGTTCCATGGAGCAGGAAGCTTTGGATTCTGGCCTGGCTGCCTCTCCCTTTTTCCATCTACAATTATTGATTTTGGCAGAACATCTGTAACATATGCTGGGTCTCATGGAAGCTATGTTTACATCTCTCACAGCTAAGACTGGAATCCACATTAACTTTTTCTCATTGCATTGCTCTTTAGTACCAACTATCGGGCCAGTTGCTGCTCCTTCCTGCAAATTTGTTGTGCACAGCCTTCACTGCCCAAGATGCCACTACTCTCTTACAAAATGCATGTTCCTATCATACAAAACAGGAACATATCATGTGCCATATGATAACTTTGTCTGAGTGTAGGCATTGGCTCCCCAGCAGAACTTGAGAATCGAAGCCTAAGAGTTTTATATATAAGCCTCGCAAAAACTGAGCTGTGGGAGCCTCTGATAGAGGATACAACTTGACTTTTAGGAAGTGTGAACTCAGTTTTATGATGATGGCATCAGGACATTCCACTCACAATCATGTGCTGATGCATTTCCTGTATAGAAACCAGCAAGGCATCACTGGCACATAAAACTGTGTTCAGTGGATAGCAATAGGTGCTTTCCTACATTGACTGTCCTTTTTTTATTAACATTGTGCTTCTGAATTTGCTGCTGAGCAGACCTAAGATCATGATTATGCTACCCTGTCTTCCTTAAATGCCATGGTAACATGTGTTCTACAATTATTTATCCATATTCCACGTTATAACTGCAAAATCCAGCAATATAGTCATCAAGAATGTTTTAATTTTGAATAATTCATGGGGACTAAGATAATCTTCCATAGTATTATTAAAGCATATTAGGCACTCTGTTGTATTTGCATATAGGCCACCAGAATGTACATATTCAGGATGTGCACCAACGGAGCAAAGCTCAGGGAGCCAAGGTTCCATTTGGATGCCAGGAAGCACTTCCTGACAGTCAGGACCCCGAGGGTGTGGAATGGGCTTCCACGAGAGGTCACTGAGGCCCCATCGGTCCGGGTGTTCAAGGATAGGCTGGACATGCGCATGGAGGGCATGTCATGAGCGGAGCCGGCTGGAGCCGGGGGTCAGATTAGATGGCCCAGGAGACCCCTTCTGACTCGCTCTGTTTTTATGTTTCTAAGTTTCATGTCACATTATCTTCAATTATTTGAGTATGAGCAAATTTTATCAAGATCAACAGCCCCCAGCACATGGTGCTACATTTGAAATTGCATGAGCTCCAAGCCTTGACCTGCGTAGTAGCTGGGATCAGACCCCTTGCACAACTGAGATGTTTGTGTGAGGAACTGGAAAAAGAGTGTGCATGCATCATTTTTATTGGCTAGAAAGACAAGGAACAATAGTGTCACAGACCCTACAGTATTTGTTGGTACCTGTGATTGAGCACACACCCACCACTGCCTCAATGAATAACCCAGCATTCAAAAACTGTAGGCATGTAATTGCTGACAATCTACAAATGTCTCATACAACTACAGAAATATACTAATAAAGGCGGATAATCACCAAATAGTGACTGTTGAAATTTACCAGATGTATTGGGTGGTCATTTTTTCCTTGAGATAGTTTACAGTGTCTCCATTTATGGACATTAATCTAAGATTGAAATCTGCCCAAACTTATTACTGAAGTTGCCACTGATGCAGGATGGAAAAAAAATGACTTCAAACTATTTCATGTCCAACATGTAGTCATATGTGCCAGTTTCTCTTATATCTCTCACTTGTTTGTTCTACAAAAGTACAGCTATGTTATATACATAGGGGTAGAAAAAAAGCTAACAGCTTTTCCCCCATTTTTAGATGGGGTCAATGGTTCATCCTCTCCATTTCTTACAACTCCCTAAAGACACAATAAAGATACAATAAATGTTACAAACAATTCTCAAGCAAAATGAAATCTCATTTGACAGATTTTTCTTTAACATTATAAAAGAGTTACTCCTAAGCAGTTACTCTGATATGATCCAAATAACACAATGGTAAGGATCCAATCATGGCTCTTTTTTACCAGAGAAATAATTTGATTTGGTATAAAAGAAATTCATGTTCTCAAGTTTTCTCTTTAATTATGCTCATGCAGCAAGAAGAGCCATCAGAATGCTGTCATCAGAAAAGTACAAATCCAAATGCAGTTTGGCTTTGACATCCTTTGGAAATTGCTGGAATGTACCAGCACATCTTTAATTGAAAGCCAAATTTTTAAGTAACATTTAGTTGTGTAATGGGCTGGAGAGCATAGAAAACCATAAGTAATTTCCTATGGGATGCTATCTTTGAGTCCTTCAAATTACAGGATGAACCTACATTTTATTAAAAGAGGGCAGTGTTTTGTTCAAAGCTTTTATTGGAACAACACATTATTAATTTGTCACGTCCAAGTAATATACTTGGAACCATTAAATTCCACTGCCTATCCTGCCATCTCCCATGGAATATTTAATAAGAATAAGAACACTCACAAACATTACCAGAAGTATTAAACTGTAATATACTGGTGTGAAGTAAAGAGGTTTGGTATTTTAAGCAGAGACAGCACATATTCTGCAAAGCTGAACCTCTTGGAAAATACTACACACATAAAATATGCTTTGAAGAAAACAACCCAGAAAGGGCAAGCAAAAATCTGATATACATGTGCCAAAGCTTTCAGAGGGGAACAAACTAAAGTCTTTTAGAAGGAAATGTTGGTATGTACAGGAATAAAAGAAAGGAAATCCAGACTCTTTTGTTGTTTTAGTCTGTGAAAACTGCACACAGAGTTTAAGGCTTTCTGATCACACCAGGGCTCCCCCATCATATGATATACATTGTTTATGTCCCACTATGGAATATGTTATACTGATGCTTCTGGGTGTTTCTGTTTGGTTTATTTAAAGTTTAACCAGAAAAACTCCATTCTCTCCTCTGAGAAAGAAGGATAGTTCAAGAGAAGTACATACGACCTTTGTTGGTAGAACCCATGACATCAATGGAATCAGACCAAACTACCCCAGAGTTGTTTCGAAAGTCTACTTTCTAACCTTTCTTTGTCTGTTAGTAAATTATGCACACATAATCAGAATCAGAAACTGTGCAAGCTACCACACAACCCACATCTGAAACACACAGCTAGTAGTAGCAAATCAGTTAAAGGTTGTTTCTTTCCTTTTTTAAAAGCCATTTTGCACAAAAAGCTCCTCAACACAGTATGTATCATTTGCTAAGCTTAATTTTTTTTTCACAAGAATTTTCTTCCTCTCCACATGGAAAGGTTTTTCTTCTTTCAAAAGAAACTTACTGCTACTATCTCAGTAAGGACAAAATAACTCATGCAGTGTTGTTATTGCATGCAACCATCATCCTCAACAGCAAAATAAATACCCAAAGAACAAAGCTAATCTATGCTCAGAAAGTAATCATTGACGAATAGATTTTAGAATTCTAGAATTTACAACAAATTCTGAATCCATGCATTCTTCAGGGGAAAAAGAAATAATTTATAGATGAGCTCAAACATTCACAGGAAAATTAAAAACAAGGCATAACTTTCTTTCACAATTCATATATAAGGAAGTTATGGGTTTTTTAAATCCTTGTCATGAATATTGAACAGCCTGAACTGTTCACACAAAGATAAAGGTCACTGTACTGTTACAGATAGAAACACTTCAATGCTTTTACCGCCAGAATAAAATATACATTCAAAGCATATTTAGAATTTTAGAAATGTTACAATAAATATCACCTGTTTTCTGGATTGGATTCTAAAAAAAGTAGCCAGTAGGCATAATATTTCTATGTATTTCATTCTTTTCATCTTCCTTTGGAAAAGTGGTATGTTATCTTCTAAATAATATAAGCTAAGCTTAGTATTGGACATAAAGAATCCTTCCTCAGTTCAGACAGGTAAATCACATTCAGGGCTCTTCTCATACTATTTAGCTTTGCAGATGGAAGCATGAAATCAAGTTTCTTTAGATCATTTTCTAAAACTAATGGGCCAGCTAGAAGTTTGAGAAATGTGTCACACTACAACATCCCCCCCCTCTCTCTCTCACACACACACGTATGTAACTAACCGTTTATTTAAAAAATGACCGTTTAGCCTAATGACTGTTTACCAAAAAAAAAATCTAGTAATGCAAGTCTGATCTACTGAGACTACATGAAAGTTAGTACTTGCAGTTTTAATACACTGGAATAATTTGGATGGGTTTTAGGCAGTTTTATATTTGCTCAAACATTGTTTCTCAACTGGGGAGTCCAGATTCAAAACTGTGTGAGACCATGAAGACAAGCACCATGAGAACTGACCTTTTAACTTTCATAAAATTTGCATTTTTGAGAGAAAGGGAAAGAAACAGTACAGCAAAGGAGAAAGTAGAAGCACAGAAAGTAATAAGGAAAATGTAGGGGTGGGGGAGACCAGAAGACATGTACAATAAAACATTAAAAGCAAGTTCCATATAACAAGTAAGTGCCAGGCTGAAAGATGCATTAGCTCATGAGATCAGAATGTTTTTGTTTTACCTTTTCATCCAGTTCCTGTTTCATCAGTTGGTATTTTCGCCTATATTTAACATATTCTTCTTCTTTGTGAGTTAGCTCTTCTGTGAGCTTATCACATTCAATTTTCATCTTTTCTACCTGCCGACGGTGAGCTTTCATTAAATTTCTTTCTTCTACCAGTTCAGCCTATTAGGAATAAGCAAAACATGGAAAAAAGTTAAATATGTTTATTTAAATTCCCAACTCCTTTGCCAAATGTTCATATACAATTAAGTTTATGAGTAAGGTTGCAAATAATTTATTTGATGGAAAAATGCTTATTTTAAATCTATATTACATTTCAAATACTTATCCTTGGTTAGCATGAATGCTACATAATCTATATAGCTGCCTACCCAATACATAATTGACAGCTTTACCCTAAAGTTATTTATTCTTCTGCTGAAAGCATGGCTTAAGCTATTTTTATAACATTCTCTATGCCACATTGCCTCCTCAAAGTTTTCCTTCATGATAATCTAACAGGATTGTCAAGAATGGCTGAGACACACAAAGATACCCAGGTTTACTGAGTAGGAAGACTTAGGGACCATGAAAAGGATTCAGACAGGAACTAGAGATGAAAAGAACAGGAAATACAGTTCTTGTCACTAAATGGCTAGTAGCTTAATGACCTATTATTGACAGAAAAGTAAAGGCTATTCTTTTACTTAATTGGTAAAGCAATAGTCATTAATCCAACAGTCAGCTTAATCCATCCCTCACAAGATCAAAGCACATCATAAGATCATTCTACAACATGTCTTTTTAGTAGCGGTGAGCAACTTGTAGGCCAAAGCACCTGCATGGTCACAACTCACATGACTTCTAGCCAGAACAGCCAATAATGAGTGTTAATGGGAGCTGCAGACCAAAACACCTGAAGGGCACAACCTGTGTAACAGAAATGTATTGCAATAGATCTACAGTTTTTTCAGGGGGTCCAGATCATCTTGTACAGCACTTACAAATTTGGCCAGATACCTTTTCCTAATAGTACTTTTATTGCACAAAAATCTCCAACTTGTGGGCTTTACCTTTTTTTTCTTCCAGAATTATATGGAATGAAGTCACACACATTTCTTGAGTACCTATTGACTTCTAGTGTTTGATCAGACTAGTGATGGGCAGCACACTTTGCCTCAATGCCATTGTCATACGATGACTTTTCCCCTACAGTTTATTTTTTAACAATTTATGAGATTAAGAGCATAATCCAATGGGGTTCCTAATGCTGGGGATGGAGGAGTGAGCACAGTTATACTGGCCAGTTCCAATCTTGCTGCTTTGTTGTGGACTTTTTATTGCATGGAAATGCCCTTGTTTGGATAATATTTTGAAAGAAAAAGAAATCAGCACTGACAACAAACTGACCCATAAATCTTTGGAAATGTTGTAGAAAGCCAGGAAATTGCCACATGGGAAACCACACTGGTTACTAATTAGTACCCCACTTTCCATTTGCATATCTACATGTAAAATATACTTTCTGTTACATACATCAACGTATCTTCAATGCATTCTGTAAATGTTCATTACTGAAAGCATTTTACATGCAGGTGTGGCATGATAACAGCATTGTTTGGACAGAGAAATACAATAAGCAAGAAGAGTGGCTAGGCGAGACCTTTGGTAGCCAAGGGTATGGCTTTAATGACCTGCTATCAACTCCTTCTATTACTAGCAAACTTTAATTAAAAAAAGCTTCTATATCTTCTGTGCACATATAATCCAAGTGTGTCTGAGCGCGAGCAGTACTCACCCCTAGTATAATGGTGACCCAGCAGTTCTAAAAGCAACCTGAAGTGCTTAATTTCAGAATGGGTCAGAACAACAGAACTTGCAAGAGAAGCTCTATTGAGATGTTCTGATTTGGAAGCAGCTGTTACCACTTGCTTTGGGGGGTTGCTTTTAGAATTGCTAGTTTTCTTTTTTCACAACAGATCAAGCAGGAGCTTAGCAGCAGTATTTGATACTGCCTAATATGCACAATTAAAGGCCAGACCAGAGACAAATAAAGGTAATCTGTGGTATTAACCAGCATTCCAATAAGCGCCTAGTTGGATCTCAATGATGCTTAATTTTAAAGCCCAAAATTGTAGAATCTTTTCCAGTGAGGAAATTAGACAGTATTTGTACTAAGCCTACCACACACAAGACCCTGATATACTATCCAAAGTTGGGCAAACAGAAACAATTTGACTATCCTATACTGATACCTTCAACATTGCAATGTGCTCAGTTGCTTCCTCTTTTTCTTGGCTAAACAATTTCATCATCTCTTGGACACGTTGGTCGTGTTTGGCTCTCACTCGTTGTAATTCTGACTGAAGCTCTGCCAGCTCCTGTTGGTGGACATCTCGCTCCAACTTGAGCTGCTTGCTGGTTGTAGCCATCTCCTCCTGACTAGATTCCTGTTCCTTCTGGAGTTTTGTCAGGGTCTTATGCATCTCCTTTTTGGATTTCTCTTCCTCTGCCAGTTGGTTGGTTAGTTCAGCCCGGGCAGCACTCAGGTTTTTAATAACTGATTGCATCTCTAGCAGTCTTGCCTGGTCCTTTTCATGGATCATGTTACTTGTTGTAAGCTCCTCCTCTAAACGCTGTTTATCAGTTCTTATTTGGCTTTGTATTAGGCTCTGTTTTTGTAGTTCACTCTCTAATTTGTCCACAGTTTCTCTGACTGCTCTAATCTCTTGTTCGAGGGCCATCTGTAGTGATCTAGTTTCATTTAACTTCATTTCTCTACAATGCAGCTCCTCTTCTTGTTTGGCCCTCTTCTCAAGAACATCAGTCAGCTCCTTCTGTAGATTTTCCATCTGGTGCATGGCTGAAAGAAGCTGACTCTTCAAGTCATCCTTTTCTTTAAGAAGCTACAATTTAAAAAGGGGTGGTAGATTGGAAAGAAAATCAAAGGGTTGTTTGGAGTCCTGTTAGGATATAGGAGGGAAATATGGGCTAAGATAGCACTGTTGGGAAAGGAGGGCACTACACCAAATAGAAGAGTGCAAATGGACAATTCCATTAAATTTACCAATGCCTGAGAATCAGTGTACTAACTGGCTTCAAATAACTGTATGGCTGGAAAAGGAGGAACAATTCTACATAAGTAATGTGGAATCTAAAATATTTGTTGGTAATTAACATAGAAATAGATCTCTTCTTTGTGTGAAATTATTTGCAAGAAGTTCAGGAAGCAGTTATGCTCCCTTATATATATCTGAGGATATGTCTGTGTATATGAAAGAGTACTCTTAGCCACCATCTGAAAAATAGAGAATGGATAGCTATTCTGTTAATTGTATTTGCTTGGAGGTTTTTCAGTGGATGTGCTCCACCATTCAACAACTTCTCAGGGTGGTTTGTAAATAATGCCACATAAAAGAGTGGTATTCCTCTAGAAATTAAAAGTAATCGTCTAGGGTTTCACACCACTGTATGGTGCTGCTATTCATTTTTCCTCCATGCAGTTATTTGAGACATGCCTTAACCAATAAGTGGATATATTTTCAGGCACTAGCAAAATTCATGGAATTTTTATCATGAATTGATATTATTCAGTGCAGTAAATGGATAAATTAGAAATATATTTAAACCAGGGATAGGCACCATGTTGCCCACAGAACACCAAGGATTCCTGGACACCTTCCTTCCTGCCATCCAGGGTGTCCTGCTCTTTCCCTTAAAAAGATAAAATAAAATAAAATTGTATATACTCTTACCAGCAGCAGTTAATTGCTATGAAACAGCATGATACTGGTACTAAAAAATTAGGTTCAAAGGAGTTGTTTATCATGCTGGCTTTAAGATCTTACTTCTGCCTTGTACTTTGCCTTTTGGGAAGGTTAGTTGTCCTTTTGCCATGCCCCCTATTGCAGCTGTTTTGTCTGGTGACCAGAACAATTTCACAAATGGCCAAATCTGCCCATAATCAAAACGGTTGCCTACCCATGATTTAAATAACGGCTTTCACATCCTCCTCCTCTGATCCATCCATCACTCAGCCCAATACCCTTGATTAGAGGCTGCTACTCAAACTTGTGATCAATTCAAAGTATCTCTGCCACCACTCCAATCTTCTTCCCTGCAAGTAGAAGCCAGCCCATTGCAATCCTTAGCTTGAGCCTCCCTGTTAATCCTTACCTTACCATTCCCGCTGTTCAACTGGCCCTCCCTGCCATATACATACAGTTACACTCACTGTCAATATTCCTGACAGGCCTTTCCTCCTCAGAGGTTTGAACATACCAGAGTTGTTTCAGTCTATAGGTTTCTTTGTCCCTTTTATCTTATTTAGACAGGCAGCAGTTAAGTTCCACTGAGTGGAATTTGCTTTTGACAGAATGTAAAGTAAATGACTGATTAATTATAAAGCAGAGAAGCAATAAAGTCCACCTACTCTTCAGACCTGGAATACATCACATTTGAGCCTTTCAGGGACATAAAACAGCCTTTCACTGTCAAAATGTGTCTGTCATATGTTGGTTGATTATTTTCAAATTGCAATGAAATACTTAATTATTGCTTTAATATCTTCCATTTTTTCCAATGGCCATCTGCCATAACCATCTTCCTTATATGTTTTTACCTCAAGGGTGGAAGGGCTAATCGACTATTTCACACTGCTCATTTTCCTCCCATACTTATTATCACATCAACAGTGTGCTTCCCCTTTAAGTTTCTAGAGGTTACTCCTGCTCCTGGACATCATTCAAGACCATTTAATTGAAATGCTAATTGCTATTTTAAATGCTAATTTTTCAGCTGATTACCAAAAAATGAAAATTTTGCTATATTAGAAAACTTTAAGCCTGGTCATATTATCAACTTGAGTTGTAAAAATGTACTTTGGACAACTGCTGAATGAAACATGGGGCAATCCTCAAAGGATCACAAATATCACATTGGCTGTTCCATTTGAATTAGCTGTTCTGAGAACCAACAGCAAACACAGAGAGTGTTACTTCATCATTAGAGGAGCTTTCTGAGGAAATGAGAATGAACGCCTTGGAGAATTGTCAACTTATTTTCTAAAACCTTCTTAGTCAAGCTAGTGAGCGAATTCTTATCTTTCAATGAAGAGTCACTTCGGCTATAAGAACGCCTATACAACTTATTGGGCAAAGTTTTTTGCTGTGTGCACATGAATATTTCCCAAGGCAAATACATGACAGTTTTGGAGGGCCTCCTAAAACCATCTGGCTTACCAGTATTAGAAACACAAAGCTGAACTAAATAAGCTTTTAAGAGCAGACTTCATGAAATATACCAAAGTGCAGAAATAATAAATGAGATATATCTTTAATCACCCATATACATTTATCTGAGAGCCCTGTGTGTTCCAGGTGCATCTGAGACAGTTAGGATTCCTAGAAATACATATGGAGATTGACAGCCACGTGGACTCATTGTTGTTGTCCATGCATTATGCCTTTGCTACAGGGCATGCTAGCAGCACACTGACAATACACTACATCATGTAGAGTAGCTCTTTAAAGATACCAAGATCAAAAAGTATTTATCTTATTTGGATGAGCAAAACCAGCCACCTTTTGAGAAATCAAGGTATCTCAGTCTCATATTTCATACTTTCAGGTTCTAGGCCCATCTCAGAAGTCATACCAAAGCTAGCTACTAATAATGTTCTGTTATATACATCCAAGATTTGATCAGACACTGAAAGAAAATAGAGATATCATGCCAATTCCATCTGAGAATAACAAATTGCCTTCTCACCCTAAATATATTCCTGTAAGACCATAAGAAAAACTGTGCTGCATTAGTCAATAGACCAGGATCCTATTTCCAACTGTAGTCAGTCCAAAGGTTTGAGGCTTCCCTTGACTTTTCACTAAATGAAAATGTTGCATTACACAACACTGTACCTGTTAAAAAGTTGTATCTTTTCTCTCCTCTTCCACAAAATCCCATGACTAATGGATTGGTTTTTGAAATTTCATTTTGTAAATACATTTTATTCACGTATCTTTTCAATAGCTTTGAAATTTACTGAAGGAAAGATTGTTGTTAGGACTGTTGACTTGAACAGAGAGGAAAGAATAAATGAATTCCATACCAAATTGTTCTTCTCCATCAATTGGTTCTGAAGTTCAGTCTGTTTCTCTATTTCATGTTCCAGTTTCCTACACTTTAGCTTCCAGTGTCTAATAGATTCCTGTGCCTTCAGCTTTAATTCTTCTTTCTTTTTCTCATTCTCTAGTCGGAGTACTTCAGATTGTCTGAATTCAGCTAGGTAGCTCTCAGCTTCCTTTGTCGAATTTTCCAGTTGCTGAGCCAGCTCAGTAACCCGGAGTTCTGCAGCTCTGCACTCATTTTCACACACCTTGTAGTTACTCTGTATCTCCTTCAGCTGGTTCAGCATCCTTTGTTGCTGGGTCTCCCTCATTTCCAAGTCAGATGTTAAAACCTAGAAGCCATCACAATGTATTAAAAGATCGTCCTCAGGGAAATATCGAGATACATTTACAATCCTAAGACGCAAAATCCTTCAAGTAGCCCAAGAGTGATAGCAGCATTTTTTCAGCTTCAACCTGGGATGCCCATTCAAGGGACATTTCCTTTTTACTTCCAATGAAATAACTGATCTGGGCTGCCCCAAATTCACATTTCAAAAGATAATGTCAGCAGGCTTTAGAACTTTGGGAAAAAATAGGCATCTTCCTTATACTGTAGAACCAGTAGACAAAAACAAACAGAGCAGAGGCACACACATATTCAACATAAAAATACTGTCCTCTCCATTCTAAGTCCCTGTTCTATAGAATAATGCTTTGAAATGATCTACATTGCCACCCATTCCATATCATTTTTTTCTGCTAAAATGACAGCATGCTGCGTATTTGCTAAACTTGTCCACAAATTGCCAACCGTTCTGTGAAGGTATTCAGAAGCATACAGAGTCTATTTGGTGCATACAATGAATTCCCAAACCTATACTCTTTGGAGCACAATAGTGATGAACAAGGAATTGCACACGCACATGCACAATGTCATATTGGTCCATAAGACGACTATAAATCTCCAGTCAGGAAATACTTTTAATTGGTCCAACCAAATGCCTAAAAATAGTGAGCTGTTACAGAGAAGTGTGTCTGTCACTATCTTCTCACTGAAGAGCATGTCATGCCTGACCCAGACCTGGGACAAGATGATGCCTGAGATGAAGACTCTGATACTGCAGTGATAACTCAGGCACCTCTGGCAGGTGAGAAGCTACATTAGACCCTTCAGTGATAGCTGCTGAAGGCTACAAATCACCTGTGGAATTGGAAGTGGAATATCTGCCCATCTCCAGAGCATGCCAGCACCAGAAGGCAGAGACATAGAGCAACATATAGAGGTGCACGTCTCAAGGCGCACAGCAACCAGACTCCTAATTAGGAGCAGGGATCTCCTCATATATAGGGAGATGCTGTAGCAAGGATTAATGATTTGAAACTATACAAGTATGGGTTGGGAGATTTGCCTATATTAGACTTCCCCTGATACATGCTGAAACAATAATTTGTTTCAGTTGCCAGCTCCTTATAAACTAGTGTTCATGACCTTGCTTCTTCTTTGGACTGATCTCTTATGCCTTTAAGCCCTAGATTCCTGATAAGCCCCGGTTTCTTTGGATTGAGTTTGATTTGTCTCTGCTTGACTTTGCCTCCTCAAGACTCCACTTTTGGACTGTGCTTCTCTAAGCCCACTAACACAGGACTTCTGATCTCTGCCTGCTTCTGACTTTGCTGAATTGATTTACCCCAGGACCAAGCTTAATCCAGCCATAGCAGAACAGAGCTTCTGACTGAAAATTACCACAACATGCCAGAGGCCAAAGGTTCCTAACAAATTGTGTATTACTAACATCTCTATCAAAATACTGTTCTTTAAGAAAGATATGCCAAGTTTTTCAGCAGACAAGTAATCAGAAAAACTTTAGACCTAATTTGTTCAGGAATGAAAATAAGGCTTCTAGTGCCATGATTATAATTGAAACTAAACCTGAACTTCTTAATTTGAACATCTTCTAAAGTGTAGAAGACATGTTTTCCTGCTTTGGTACACATGGCCTTTTTAAGACCATCAAATACATTAGACAACCTTCAAATACCTATAAAGTGATGCTTTATACAGCTCAGTTGAGTTCAATTACAAAGGAAGATTTGTATTAATTAAACATAACCTCTAGGGGCTAAGGATTCAGATTCTGACCCTGATAGATGTGATGGGATGCATACAAAAACCATCAAATTGTTAGATTTATACTTCCACAAATTTTGCAAAATCTCTCACCTTCAGACTCCTGTGCCAGATCATTTTCCTTACAGCAGCTGTAATTGTTTCCCATCTGGTGACAATATAAAAGATGCCAGTTCTAAATAATGGCATCTTCAGCCTTTCTGGGTCATTAAAAATAATTATTTCTTCACAAAGCCTATGAGAAGAGCTCTTGTACTACAACTATAGTTTCCTTGTAGCAGTTAATGAAACAAGATTCAAGGCTTAAGCCAAGTAGAGAAAATATTGTAAAATTAATTGAAAACATTTATCTTATCAGTGGGGGCAAAATCCCCACAGATCTCTATTTTATTAGCAGTTAATATTAAACCCCCACCCAAACTTTTCATGAAGATTATATACAAAGGTATATAATTAATTCTTAGACATCAACTATCTGTATGATTCAAATCAGTATAATACTGATATATACCAATGAAATGTTCATACAAAAATGTGTTCATCCATTTTCACAAACTAAAAAAAATCTTTCTAATAAAAAGAAATAAATCAACCTGTTTTGCTTACTATTATATTTACATGTTAGGGGCCTTTAGAAGATCAGTTGAGTCTTTAGCCTCTTTATATTTACTGCAATACATATAAAGACAAATGTCAAAAGTATGAGAAACTTTTCCCCTAAAGGTCCCATCCAATATCAGAGACATTCACTCACACAGGACGCCCCCCCCCACAAAACACCTGAAGTCCCCCTCTAAACCTCTAAGTTTGGAAGCCGCCCCGAGGCTTATGTGAATGGGGCAGCATATAAGTTCTCCAAATAAATAAATAAACTTGTTCTGGAGAGTCCTCTGGAGCACAACTGAATGGTGCATGGGGGGCTCTTCAGGAGAAGGGGGGATCTATTCTTCCACCCATAACCATTCCTCTGGAGAAAAGGCACTTTTCAATTAAAACCTTTGCTTGTTGTACCATGAAGATGCATTTGAAACCAACTGCTTGCAAATGACCACTGCCAAACATTAAGAAGCAAGACATACAGGAGACTTAAGATTCAAGCCAAGGAATTTGTCTAAAGGAGGTTTCAGTCAGGGTGGGGATGGGGTGCAGGCATGTTGATCCAAGATATGGGACATTAAGTGCTTTGATCTCAATCCTCAATTGTGTGAACCGAAACACACATGGAAGAGGAAGTTGTCATAAATTCTCACTCCATCCCAAAAGCTGATTCGAGCCTCTCCCTACAACAGAAGTAGCACCTTCATGTAAGCCATGTAAGTTATAATTGTATACTCAAGCCCACTGAAATCAATGAATACGATAAAATCTGTTTGGGCTTTTCAGTGAAATCCATCCCAGTGTTTCATTCCAGATAAACCTAATTGTACCATGATGCATGCTTTTAATGCTCAGTATGCCTTGCTCCCTGTTGCCTAGTGCAGATAGAATGAAAGATTTACCACTGTACTGAAATCTGTTCAACAGTTACCTGTCATGCACTAGGGTTATGCACTCTGAAGGGCCTGTTGCACCTCAAATTGATACATATTACTCATAGCTAGCATGATTGTGTTTGCCACCAAGATTACAATGATTTATTTACTATCATATTAAGTGCATGATGGTGTTCAAGAGTGATTTAAAATTGGAAAAATACTGGATTCGCATTTAGAAACTATTTAGGTGCACTTGTAAAATGTAGAAAACTTCCTTTCTACTCAAGTTATACCAATTTGGGCTCTGCTTGTAGACTACTCAGAAGTGTTTGGCTGACCAATGTGTGAAACAGGATACTAGACTCAGTAAGCATATGGTCTTATCCAACTGGCTTGCTTTTATGTTTCCACTTTGTTTGAAAGCTCAAAGCTGTTTGAGTTCAATAGAAGAGTACAAATGCTTTTATGAAAACCTATTGTAGGACATAAGAACACCTCAAGTTGCTTTATAAAAAACACTGGTATAAAGACGTACCTTTGGTCCGTCTGGGAGATTTTCAGGGTCTTAATTTCTCCCTTCAAATGGAAAAGTTAGCATGTATGTAAAACAGAGCTGTGTGTTGCTTCTCCATTAAAGCTGCTGCCACTCTGAGTGGCATTGCATTCATGCAATGGGACTGCTCCAAAGTCTTCATTAAAATACAGCTTAAAGGTTAACTTAGAAACACAAAAGATAAACAACACCAACCCATTAAAAAGGGGGGAAACTTCAATAACATACCTATTTATTTATTTATTTTTAATTTCTATACCACCCAAGAGTTATCTTTTCCAGAAGACAAACAACAGAGAAGGAGCCAACCAAGCCTCCCTCTAGAAGCAGTAAATAAAACTGGACATGCTTGTATAAGCTTTTGTTGACCAAATGGTCCATATCCTGGTATGTTTATGCCCAAAATAAACAACAAGGGAAAGTTTTCTTTTAAAAGATTTATTCTTACTTTACTTACTTACTTAACTTATAACTTTTGTATGCTGTCCCTTATGCATGGCATCTCAGGATGGCTTACAATCATTAAGAATAATTATTAATCTTGAGAATGGTGCACCTGATCAATCCTCAATTGGCCCTTTTACACAGTGATCATTAAAGGTTACACATAACACAATTAACACTTTCCAATAGGTTACAGAAGTAAAAAGTTACAATGGCATGATCTTTCCCACAAAGAAGATCCTCTGAAGGAGCAGGGAGAATGGGGTGTCATTACGCAGAAGAGGAGGAGGATGGGGTCAGCTGGTGTGATTTGTCCTGTTTGAGCTGCTATTATCCGTCAAGTGCCAACTAGCTTTCTTTGGAATGGCGCCTGGTTAGTGTCAACTGCATTTCAAGGATGCACATATGCTGATTTCTAGAAAAAATGGGTTTTCTCAGGCCCAGTTATGTATCAACAATTGCATGATTTAACCAGTGAAAGTTCTACTTTTCTGTACATCAAAAGAAATCCTATATCCAAGAAATAGGCATGCTTGTGAGTATATCTGCTAAGGGGGAGGTTTAAGGAATTTGGTCTTAGGTAAAAGAATTAATATAAGTATCTCTTAAGTGCATCTTAAATCCTTAAGATTTTTCCATAAGCAGTCATTTGAAAACCCTAAAATATATATTAGCATTCCCTTATGTACAAAATAGCCCATTAATCAATCAACTAATTTAATAATCCATCCTGTCTCTAAAGGTGATGCA